CTGTTTCTTTCTTTCTTCCTTCCTTCCTATTTTAGGATCCTGGTTGAACCCTCTTCCACAGGTCCAACTAGTTTTCCCAATCATTCCCAAGACCAGAAAGCAAAGCAGGAAGAGCCTGGACCGTGGACCTGAACTCAAACTGCAAGTTTCTTCTCACTATTTTGCTACTCTCTGACCCTGGCAAAGGTTCTTAAAAAGGAACAAAGGTCATTTAAGGGAAGGGCCACATGGGATGAGCTTCTTTTGCAATTATACAATTCCCAGCCTCTACAGTCAGACCGGAGAAGGTCCTAGTAGACAGATTATTTTACTTGTCATCACTTCTTGAAATTTCTTCTCATGTTGGTGGAGGAAGGTTCACTGTAGAGGGCCAGGACTGAGGGATGAAGATTCACACACACACACACACACACACACACACACACACACACACACACACACACACACATACACACATGTATATGTACTTTCCTCTTTCTCTAGGACCAGGCCAGGGACTCCTCCTTGCTAGGCCAAGACCTAACTTCTGCCCTAATACTTCAGAGTTACTGGTTGGGCCAAAAGAAAGGGCTTAGATCTCCAACCTTCTCACCACATTTGAGACAGTGTGTTGTAGTATTAAGAATGTTAGCTTTGCATACTATTTTTCACTTCCTTCCTTCCTTCCCTCCCTCCTTCTTTCTTTCCTTTCTTTTTTGTCTTCTTTCACAAAATGACTCATATGGAAATGTTTTACATGATTGCACATATATAACCTATATCAGATTGCTTGCCATCTCAGGGAAGAGAGAGAAAAGGAAAGAAGGAGTAGAATTTGGAATTCAAAACTAAAAAAAAAAAGAATGTTAAAAATTGTTTTTACATGTAATTAGGTGAAAATATTATTTTAAAAAATCAAGCAAAAGAATTTTAGATTTAGAGTCAGAGAACCAGAGTTTTAATCTGTGCACTGTAATTTAAATAACAGATGGGGAAAGGGTTGAAAGAATTTATCTACTCCATAGTTTCATCTGGGGCCAGCCCTGGTGCAGTAGGTAGCAACTCAGACTAGCAAATGAAGTTAAATTTACAATTTTACTCACCTCTTGTTATAGGCTAGGATATCAGTGGAACTGGGGAGTGGTTAGGGTTAATTTTATTTCCAGCTGTAGGCCTTTTTCATAACAAGACTATAAAAAGCAGTTTTTAGCACTTTGCCAGGGAACTCATGAAGCCTCAGGGAATCACCTTGATTGTCTGATTGTTTTATTGTCGATTTTTTTAAACTTCTTGATGGTGGGTGTTTTCTTCCCAAGATGCATTGTAAGTGCCTTGAGAACTACTATGTGAAAGTAGAAGTAATATAACTTTAGCAAAAAAGATTGCTTGTTTGAACCTTCAGGCTTTGAGTGATCCATTGCACTAGATATGAAAAAAATAGAAAAGGCTACCCAGGCCATTCCCCAAATAGACAGAAAGGGAAAAGAAACAAGGCAGTAGAATTCTCCCTCTCCCCTAGATAGCAAAAAGGGTGACCCGCACAGGCTATCCCAAGCAGCTCCTTGACATGTCTGAGTGAAGTCCCTTAAGACCCACACTGCCTGCCAGTGAAGCATCCTCATGTTGACCTTAAAGAAGGTGCTGAACTGGCATAAAGGCTGGGTACAGAGAATAGATTCACAGTTCTAGAGCTTGGAGAGAACTCAGAGACCACCTAGTCCCAACCCTTTCATTTTACCCATGAAGAAAATGAAGCCCAGAGGATAGTAAGGGTCAGAGGAAGGCTTCAAACTCAGGTCCCCTGACCCCAGAATCAGTGCTCTTTCCACTACACTAAAAGCAAACAGCAATCATGTTGCATAATGTTTATACCCTCCCCTTTGGAATTTTATTGTTCAGTCTTCCCCTGTCAGATTGATTTTTTTTTTGTCTAGCTAAAAGAGGCCATTCTTTGCCTCATTTCTTACCTAGCCTTAATCACTGAATGGGCTCTGCCTCAGTCAAATTGAGACCTGGGAAAGACCTTAGCTTAAACAGCCAAGGTCTCCCACTGAATCCAGAGCCATCTCCAGTCGTCCTGATCTATATCCTGCCACTGGACTCAGATGGCTCCAGAGGACAAAGTGAGACTGATGAAAGTCATCACAGCCCTTCCTCACTTAAATCCAATTCACCTATATATCACGACACTACTTCTCTGATGTCACAGTCTTCTTTGAAAGTGAAGGACAAACTTTGCATGACTACACATGTATAACCTGTATGGAGTTGCTTGCCTTCTCAATGAGGTTGGGTAGGGAGGGAGGAAGGGAGAAAATTTGGAACCCAAAATTTTAAAAACAAATGTTAAAAAATTGTTTTCACATGCAACTGAGAAATAAGATATACAGGCAATGGGGTGTAGAAATCTATCCTGCCCTACAGGAAAATTGAAGGGGAAGGGGATAAAAGAAGGGGGAGAGGAGATAGAAAGGAGGGCAGATTAGGGAAGGTGTATTCAGAACGCATGCCATCTTGGGGTGGGGAGAGGGGTGAGATGGAGAGAAAATTGGGAACTCAAAATCTTGTGGAAGTGAATGTTGAAAACTAAAAATAAATAAATTAACAAAATCTAAAAAAAAAATGAAGGACAAACAACTTATAGAACCATTCCTAGGACAGAGAGACAGGATCTTTGCTCCTGGGTACTGATACCAGTATTTACAATACTGCATTTTTGATTGGAGCTCCCCTCATAAGCCTCTCCAGGTGTCAAAGGGTTTCTGCCATCGACTGAATTGAGAGTGTCTTGCATGCAAGGTGGCTTAGTGCACAGAGTACCGGGCCTGGAGTCAGGAAGGCTCATTTTCCTGAATTCAAATGTGGCTTCAGACACTTACTAGCTGTGTGATCCTGGGCAAATCACTTAACCCTGCTTGCCTCAGTTTCCTTATCTTTAAAATGATCTGGAGAAGGACATGACAAACCATTCCATTATCTTTGCCAAGAAAACCCCAAATGGGGTCACAAAGAGTTTGACACAACTGAACAACTGCAAAGAATCCTGCCTGCATGCTAATTGCTCCTGGTGGAAAAAAAAAATTGGTTCATCACATCTCTTCTTACTTGGTGTGTCAATTGCTTGATTAAAGGAGGCAGCTATTAGGGAAAAAAAGTATTTTGACTTTACTAACTGTGGGAACTTAGGCAAGTCACTTAACCTCTCTTGGCCTCAGTTTCCCCACCTGTAAAATGACAATGAAGTTTCTTCCCATAACTGAGTTTAAGACCCTGTGATCCCTGGGAAGGAAATGTTGACATCTTTCTTCCAGGTTGCTTCCACTTCACAGAAGCTGGGGCCTGAAGACTATATTTTGTGGAGCAGGTATTTGGTCATCTACCAGTCAGTCAGTGAGCATTCATTACGTGCTTATTGCGGCAGCTTTGTGCTAAACTCTGGGCGTACAAAAAGAGGGGAAAACAAACAGTCTCTGGTCTCAAGGAGCTCACATTCTAATGGAACCAGTTAGACTAGAGGGCCTCTGAAGTCCTTTTCAATTATGAGATTCTAGGATTCTATGTCCTTTCATGAGACCTTTTGGTGTTTTCATTTTCTTTCTTTGTAAAATGAGAAGGTAGGACAAAATAATCCCTAAAGTCTCTTTCCGGCTCTAATTTCTGTAATCCTATGATCCTTCCACCCCGCACACCCCCAGGAGACCTTTAAGACCTTCCAAGTGTAACAAAAATTCCAGGATTTTATAGTTTTCTAATTTGAGAATCCAGGTGGAAAGCTGGGGGTTAATGTGAATGAAAAGGAAAAATCTCGTGTAGCCCCAGAGCTCAGTTCAGAATTAGTCTAGTCCGATAAACTTGGAGCTTTTCTGGCTACAATGTAAATGTACATAACGAACCCCTCTTCTGAGAAGAGCATTCTCTATCCATGGACTTCCTAGAGCAAAATCTCAATAACTTTAAACGAATGTTTTATTGATGTTCTTTATCCCCCTCCCCATCACTGTCACTTTCCAATTACTCCTCCTTTCCCCACCCCAGAACCCTTTCTGGCAACAAATTAGTACAGTGGAGCAAAATGAATTGCCACGTTGGCCGTGTTGGAAAACGGATACCTCATTTCTCACCTGTAGTCCACCACCTCTTAGCTAAGCGAGCAGAGGCACGCTTCGACAAATTATTCCCAATACTTTATTCTTAATACAGGGTTTAGGACTGGAAGGGAAAGTCGTGCCACTGACTGCAAGAAGCTTGGGGTGGGCGGAGGCTGGGACGGTTCAGAAGCGAAAGTCACACACTTTGAGCCTAGAGGAGCGGGTAGTCATTCCTCTTCCCTTCCACGCGCGTTGTGGCTTTTTTTTTTTTTTTTGTATCCCCAGCGCTTGGCCCAGTGCTTGGTATATAGTATTTAATAAATGCTTGCTGACTGACAGGATCTGGCCAGTGAAGAGAGTCCCCTCCTCCCTCTCTAACTCTGGATTAAGAAGTGAGCAAAAGGGCAGGTCCCGTTCCAGTCACCTATAAACCCGACGCGGACCCCACCAATTCCTGAAGGGATCCCCACGACAGACCATCACCCCCCCCCCCCCCCCCGCCAAACGACACTATCCTCAGTAGTACAGAAGGGAGACAAGGAGTTTCCGGGATCTAGAAGTCTCGGGGGCCGAGTAGGGAGCAGGGTGGCTGGGAGACACTCCCTCGCCCCGCCCCCGCTCCAGTCCTGGGGTGCTGCCATAGGCTAGGAACTCTCACCTCCTCCTTTCTCTCCACTTCTCCCCTCCCCTCTTCCCCTCGTCTCCCCCTCTTCCACCCAGCCTCCAGCTGCTTTAAAAGTTTAGTCGCTAGGCTGGGCTGGGGGTGCTGACTGTAACACAGCCATGGCTGTCTCGTTTGGGGTGCGACGGATGGGCCGGTTGCCAGCAGGGATGATGGGGGTGTTGGGGGTTCGCTCAGCTTTAGTGCCTGTCCGGGGCTGGCGGAGAGTGGAGTTCCAGGAAATCCGCCTGCTCAGGTACCGGGAGCAGGGGGAGCTGGGGATGGAGATGGGGGGCGGTTTTGGGGTGGCCCGGTATGTAGGAGGCAAATAGTCCGGGGGCACTTGGGGTCGCGGGGAGCTGCGAAGCTCCAACCCATGGCGGGGTATTCTGCGATCCCCTTGGGATGCTCTGTCCTCTGGTCCCAGCGTGTTCTGAAACTGTCGTCTCCCCCAACCTTTCCGTGCCCGAAGTCCGCAGTTTCTTATGCCCCTTCTCCCATCTTCCCCCTTTGCTTCTTTCCTCCATCCTGGCCAGGGCTGCTGAGCTCGGTCTGGCCTGCCTGTCTTCTGATTGGAGTCAGGACAGCTATCCCTCTGGGGCCCCAAGAGGTTAGGACCCTCTATAGCCTGCTAAGATCATCAGGCCTGAGGTGGACGTGGGAGAGGGAAAGAAGTCATCCCTTCCACTGGGCTCTCCCCAATCAACAGCCTTGGGTTCTTGTTTATTCAGTGGTAAAACCCATGCACTTTTTAGGGGAGCTCTCTTGCATCACATTTTTACACTTGCTTCAGTTAATGTGGGTGGGGTTTAGGGTATTAAGTGGAATGAATTGGGAATGACTTTCAAATTGTGACCTCACAAATGTTGAATCTGCAGATCCCTCCCTGATTTCTTGCTCCTCACTGATTTCCTCTTCATTCCCCATTGGTCTGAGGTGAGAGTCCTTCTCTGTGGGGGTCAACTGCTGAGTGCTGAGAATGTTTTTTCAGAAGTTAGGCAATGTTGATATTTACTCCGTGGATGTTACTGATCTGAGGTCCTCAAGTGGGAGGCCAGGGTAGGCTCAATTGGTACTGATTGAGTCCCAGCCTCCCTACCTGTACAGCTGATGGGGGGGAGGAGAGAGAGAGAGAGAGAGAGAGAGAGAGAGAGAGAGAGAGAGAGAGAGAGAGAGAGAGAGAGAGAGAGAGAGAGAGAGAATTTATTAAGTACTTAAATATGTGACAGTCACTGTTCTAAGTTCTAGAAATAGAAACGCAAGCAAATAATACAGTTCCTCCTGTCAAGGAGCTTACTCTCTAATGGGGGAAGACCACACATAGAAGGGGTAATAAGATGCAGGTACCCAGGAAAAGGGTAAGGCTTGCTTGTTGTCTTATAAGTTGGAGAAAGCCAGAAAGTGAATTCAGTTTGGCATGAAATAAGCATGGCTGTGGACCTTCACGAAATGGTGGTCAGGCCTAAGCACTCCTACTAGTTAGGAGAGCAGGCCTCAGGGAGACCTTGTGGACTATAGAAGATGGAGGAGCAAGACCCCGTAGCTCATTGACTGATCACAGAGGTGAAGAGAAAATTAGGAGGATGCTATGTCTGAAAGTGAATTGAATAAAGAAAATAAGAGATAAAATAAGACAAAATCAGTTTGGACAGTTGAGCTACATGGATACAAAAAATCTGAAGTTGCCTAAAAGGGTCACATTCTGAGAAAGAAGGAAGAATTGTAGTCAATTCCCTGATACTGAAGGTATTCTCAGAGGCTGGGTGACCACTTGTTTCTGATTCATGCACAGGGAGTCTTTGATTCAAGATGTCTGAAGTATGTTCCAAGCAACGGTGGCTTTAGCCATGAGTTAAGTGAGCAACAGACTAGGGGAGGGGTCTTCAACGTTTTTGTGTGTCTTGGATGCCTTGGGCAGTCTGGTGAAGGCTATGGACCCCTTCTCAGGATAATGTTTTTTAAATGTATAAATAAAATGAATAAGATTGCAAAGGGAAAAAAATGCAAAGGAGACTAATTACATTGAAATACATTTGTCAAAAATATTCGTACAAAATTAACAAGTTTACAGTCGCCAGGGTAAGAATCTCAGGATTGGGGTCTCTTATTACTTCCGGTGTGGCTCAGGGAAAAGAACACTGGATTTTAAAGTCAGGGAATCTCTGTTCAAATCCTGGCTTTGCCATATATTACCTATAAGACCTTGGGCAAGTCACTGGGCCTCAGTTTCCTCATCTCTAAAATGGACTAGATGACTTTTAAAGCTATGACCCAATGATTATGAGGAACATCTACATTTGAGACACATTTATTGAGGGTTCTTGGTACTAGGGACCAGGAAATAAGGGCAAAGGTGAAACAATGTACTATCAAGGCTGGAGAGGAACACATACATAGACAAATAAATACTATATACACACAAAATAATTTCAAAAAGAAGAGACCAATAATAATGGGTAGCAGGAAGGAGAGAGGAATCAGCAGAGGCATCAGATAAAAGATAGCACCTGATCAATGCTTAATTAGGTCCTCATAATTATAGTGCCTTAACTGTTAATTATTTCCTATTTATTCTGTATATAGCTTCTATGTTTGTTTGCATGTTGTCTTCCCCGTTAGATTGTAAACACCTCAAGGGCAGGAACTGTCTTTTGCCTCTTTTGTATCCCCCAGTGTTTAGTGTGGTACCTGGCACGTAGTAGAAGCTTAATAAATGTTGATTGATTGATTGGTGGAAAGTGATGATTCTAGGAGGTCTGAGGGCAAGAAGGGAGTATATTTTATCCATTACTAACAGGTATTTTTTTTAATGAATGAAATTGCTCTTGCATAATTTGTTTCATTTGCATGCCAGAAGATGCTTTCTGATAATGAGATTTTGTAATCATTATATATGTTATTGTGTGCTTTTTTTTAAAAAATACAGTGGGCCTCTAAATCTTGACCTAGTGTAGGGCCTTCAGCTATGTTTATCTTGTTGAGCTTCCAATTCCATTGTATTCCAATAGTCTGTGACTCTTAGATTAAAGTAAAACCTCCATTCTGATATTTCATTTTCAGTAAGTCAATAAACATGCATTGAACACCTACCATATGTGCCATGTACTGCTAACACTAGTGAGAGAATTTCAGGGAGAACCTGACCGATCAACAGAGTTGGTTCTGGAAAACAGGGCTGCCTTAGGAGTCACAAGACCCTGCTTTTAGGCCTTTTCCCCTAGTTTGGACATTAACCAGCTGTGATCTTAGAAAAATCATTCTCCTCTCTGGGCCTCAGTGTCACCAGGTTTCTTCCAGGTCTAGAACTCTGAGAGAGTCACCCTGGAGGCCCAAGGTATTTTATTGCTTCCTTTTCCCAGGGCCAAAATGAAATACACATACACCCTCCCCTCTTCTTTCCATAACACTATCCCTTTTGCCTCTAATTCTAATAACAGGATTCTTAACTGGGGGTCCATTAATTTTTTCTTAATATTTTGATCCTCAGACATAATTGTTTTCCTTAATTATCCTAAGCATTTTTTGTTATGATTTAATATTCTTTATGATTAATTTTATTATTTTTTGAAATATGATGTCTAAGCTCTTTTTTTGGTCATGGCATTTTCCAGGTTAGTTTTTTTGTTCTATGAAATACTTTAAAATCTCCCCTACTTTTTTAGTCTTCTGACTTTGTTTAAATATTTCTTGTGTTCTCATGGATTTGTTTGGCCCATTCTACTTTTCAGGGATTTTTTTTCTTTTGCTTGGGCAAGATTTTGTACATCTTGTGCCAAGCTGTTAATTCCCTTTCCAATTCTTTCTTCTTTAGCGCTCAAGTTCTCATTTCTTTACCATTTTTTTCCTCTAATACCTTCATTTCATTTATTAAAACATTTTTCAACTCCTTGTCTCTTGCAAAAATTGTAGTTGAACTTATGCTCAAGCTGTATTTTCTCTATTTAACCCTTTAATGTTTTTTTAAAAAATTTACATACTTTCAAAAAATATAAAATATATGTTTTTAAATGAAGCATCTTAAATTTAATAATTTATTGTAAATTTATGTATTTTTTCCTGCATTGAAATTTTGTTGATGCAATTTTGCATCACATAACCATACAGTATATTATATCATAAACAAGTTATTACATGCACATATTCCTGCTGGGCTTTCCAACAATGTGCCACACACTTGCCTGCCAACACTTTCTTGTTAAGACTTGTTGGCAGACTTGACCTCTGATCTTGCATTTTGTGTGTTTATTTGGAAAATAATGCAATCATTACAACTTCAACTCTGTTACACAATAGATGAAACATGTACAAACGATTTTTCAAAAAAAAGTTTTTCTTCTATTGTCTTCTTTCCTTATGCTTCCACTGCCCCCTTATTTTTATTCAATGCCCCCCCAATTGCTGAGGCTATTACTGCCCCCCTGGATAGTTCCAGTGCCGGGGGGGGTGGTATTGCTCACTTTGGGAACTATGGACAACCTGCAACCCCTTCGCACTCTCAAATATACATTAGGCCCTAGGCCTCTCCTCAGTCAGCTCAGGATCTGAAACCTAGAACTGGGTAGTGAGCTGCTGGCTGGTGTATTCCTGCCTGTTACATAAAACTGGGCCTCTTTTCTTCGCCTCTCCCTGTGCTGGAATTCTTTATGGGGCGTTGTTTGTTAGACACCTTCCCCAGTGTCTGAAAACCTCTTCTTCTGTCTCTCTATGCTGACCTTTGCTGGAAAAATGATTCACTGTGATTTTTTTTTCTTGGCTTTTCCAGTCAGGACTTGGTCTGGTACATTTCTGCTTGCTTCACTATACATCATACCAATTCATATATGTGTTTTCACGTTTCTTTGCATTCATCATATTCATCATTTCTTATCATAATAATATTCCATTACATTCATATACGATAACACATTTAGCCATTCCCCATTTGATGGGCTCTTTCTAGTTTGTTACCACAAGAGTATAATATCTGCATATATGTGTGTATCTATATCTACATATATATGCACACATATACACATATGTATATATATATACAAACATATATATGTGTATGGTATATGAGGCTTTCCTTCCTTTCCTTCATTCCTTTCTTTTTTCCTCTCCTTCCTTTCTTTCCTCCCTTTCCCTTCTTTCTTTTTTTTTTTTAAATCAATGACCTCCTCAGCATACATGCCAAGTAGTGGAATCTCTAGGGCAAAGGTTAAGGACATTTTAGCCAGTGTGCATAATTTTGAATCTTTTCTGAGCCTGAGTAAACATTGCTCAATGCTATTTTTTTCTCTTTTTCTCCCTGTTTTGTTTCCCTTTTAACCCAAATTTAACTTTAAAGACGATCTCTTTCCCAAGTGTAGGGAGAAAAAGGAGACACTTAAAATCTTAACACTAGTCTGTGACCCTTAGAGTCTGCCCCAGAGAAATATTCTGTCCTAGCCTCTGACAGCAAGGAGAGTCCTAGGCACTGAGTCTTACTTTTTATACTCTGAGTTTCTCAAAGAAATTGCCCGCAGCAGCTCCAGAGCACTCCAGGAAAGGAGGCTAGTATGATCAAGAGTTTCTCCAGAGACACCCCTTCTCTGCTCCCTTCCTGGCAGATCCTCATAGCCTGGCCTAGGAATTTGTTTTCTCTCTACTTTTTGTGCCCCACTCCCCATTAGCTAGCATCAGAGGTCTTCACTCTTTGACATGTGTTCTTTGGAAAGGTGATTGAGTTCAGGTGTAGTGGCCCAATATCTGATCCTTAAGGCTGTCACTGTTATTCTCATTTATCTTAGGGGCCAGAAGTGAGGTAGAATCTCTAACTGCTGATAGAGGTAGGTTTGGAGAAGGAGGAAATGTATTGCTTTGTGTCCTAGGAATGTTACTTGTAAATCTTTCTTGTAAATTCTAATGTACAGTGTGGTAACATGTACCACCATGTTCCACCATGGGGAAAATAAGACCCTTGACAGCATCTAGGCAATTTGCTAGGACAGTCTTCAGTCTGGGCAGAATTGCCACCCATTCCCTTCTCTGGAAACTTTCCAGGTAGTAAAAGTGCCCCAGCTACTCTGTCCTGCCCTGACTCTTCCCATAGGAGTTCCTGGCTCACTTTAGTAACCAAGCCAATCCCA